TCCCGGTCACCGCGGGCGTCCAGGAGACAGCTCCCACGTGGAAGGGCCTATTCTAGGCCGATAACATCCTGCGTTTGAGTGCAGCTCCGCGGTGTCCCCCCCCCCATACCCCACGTCTGGTGGTTGGCGAGTCCCGGGGTGCGACTCTGACCCTGTGCGTCCCTGCGGGACCGTAACGGTCACACTGACGGCCACTGCCGTGGTCTGGGGGCCTCTGCGAGCCGGCGCTGCGCCCGCCACCCCCACGGTGACTGGACTGTGGACACAGCTGCCTGCACCGGTGAAACGTACCCTTTCACGTTTCCCTGCTGACGACCAGCCTTTCTTTCGGCGGAAGAGAAGGGCCTTCAGTATCTATCGTGAGGCTGGCCTGGCGGTGGTGAGCGCTTCAGCTTTTACCTGGGGGGGAACCCTCCCTCCCCATCAGTCCCTCAATACTGAATGAGTGTCACCAGGAGGAGGGGTCTTGATTGGGGCGTCTTTGTCTTTTGATACTTGGAGTGGGTCTCGCCACCCCCCCCGCCTGCAGAGCTTCCGCCCAGAAAAGGCTGCTCCTAGTCTCACTGAGTCTCTCTGGGTTCCTCTTATCTGGAACTCTCCGGAATTCCTGGAGGTCGGTTTTCTTCCCCAGATTCAGGAGTTTTCAGCCTTTTATTTCTTCAGATAAAGATTTCGCCTCCCTCCCGGCTTCTTCGCCCCCTGGGGCTGAGACTCCGGGAGGCGGGGGCGGCCCCGCCGGCCGGCCGCTACCTTGGCCCCCCCACAGCTCCGCGTGGGTGGGTGGGGGGGCCTGCCGCCCCGTCATGTTCCTCTGCTCTGTCCGCTCCGCCGCCGCGGCCGCCCCTGCGTTCTCCGTCTCAGCGCCTGCTGCTCCGCTCCGCCTCTCCCGGGTGGTCGTCGCGGGCTCTCTGCCTGAGGTGTTCTCCGCGGGGTTCTCGCGTCGCTCACCCGGTCCCCTCCTGAGCTGGGTGCGCAGCTGCGTGGTGTTAGTTTGACCTCCTCCTCGGTGGAACCGCTCTTCTCCGTTTCTTTAAGCCTTTTTCTGAGGTTTCGTCTTGTTCCTTTTGGGGTTTACCGTGATCCCCTGTTCCTTCCTTTCCTCTGCCCTCTGTGTGGTCTCCCCCGCGCCGGAGGACCCAGCCGCCTCCCCCCCCCCCCCCCGGGAGGGCAGACCCCCGCGTGCGAGCTGGGCTCTCTGCGAGCGCCGAGCTGTGTCCTAAAGCGTGTGTCACAGAAGGGTTGCTTCCGAGACGGGAAGAATCAATACGAGTTATTATTTCATGAAATGCCGTCCGTGCCCCCGCCGCCCACGGCACGGCTCGGGGTTCCTTCCGCTGCGCGGCCGGCCGCGCAACCCTGGGCCGGGGCCGGGGGTCTTGTCCCTGCGCCCCCTCGTGGGAGACCCCCAGCCCCCGGTCTGTGCCGTGTCCCCTCCTGTCTGTCCTTCCCGGTCCTGAGGCCTGGCCTCCCCGAGGTCTCCCGACTCCGAGAGGGCGGCGACAGCCCCTCCTCTGCGCCCCCCAGCACCTCTCCCTGCATACCCTCCTCTCCCTGGTCCCCCACCCCTACACCCTCAGTCCCCCCAGGGCCCCATGAGAACGGGCCTGTGCCCCGTGCGTTTCTGGCCATTCAGCGCAGGGGTGCCCCCCAGGGACGGAGGGAGACAGGGAGGGGTGGCGTCGCCCAGGCTGGCTGTCCTCCCCGCGGACCCTCCGGTGGCCCCGGTCCCTGCGAGCCCCCCACGCCTTCTCCCCGAAACAGTCCCCCTGGGGGAGGCCCCCCTCCCTCCCTGTCGGACGACGACTGACAGGCCCTTCACAGAGTGGGCAGGTTTGCGACTGTGCATGGGACAGACGGACGGACGGACGGACAGATGTGTGGGCAGAGGGGTGGGCAGAAGCAGGATGGATGGGCGGGCGGGGGGGTGAGACCTCAGGGACCCCCGTCAGGATGTCTGTCGTCCGTGGTCCACGCTCTGTGGTCCCCGTGGGCCCAGCCCGCACACGGCCCCTGGGGTCAGACGGCGCTGACCACCACCCTCCCGTGTCCGCGCCCTTTGCCCTGTGGGTGGGGTGCCCGTCCCCCTCGAGGGAGCCGCTCCGGGAGTGGACTGCCAGCGGATGTGACCACGGGGCCTGCTGCCGGCCATCGCCTGGCGGGTGGCTGGGGGACAGGGGACCCTGGGGGCAGATCTCAGCCCTCTTGGCACCCTCGTCCCCACCGGCCACCCGAGGCCTGCGGACGGCAGGCCCATGGGCAGTGGCCAGTGTGGGGTGGGCCGTTACCGGGCCAGTGAGCACCGATGCTCAACCACCGTGGCCCCGGGGCCCACGGCGCCCCCCAGTGGCCGCCGTGCTGGAGGCGGGACAGAGGCCAGCGACTGGGGACAGGGGACGGCCGGGCAGTCGTCAGGGGCGGAGCCTGGCGTGCGTCCACGCTGTGGGCCGAGCGCAGCCACAGGGCCGCGCCCTCTCTGGTCAGCACCGCCCATCCCGCACTCAGAGCTCCGGGCTCAGCCCAGGAGGGTGCCAGCCCCCCACCTTCGCAGCCCCCACCCCTCCTTCCCCACCACAGCCCCCCTCTCGCAGGCTCGCACCTCCGCTCCCAGGCAGTTCCCGCCCGGTCCCGGGCCCCCTGCGCCCCCACCCCCACCCCCACCCCGGCGCCCAGGGCCCAGGACTCCCGGGGGGGCGGCCCCTCTGGGACCCTGGCCCGCGGCGGGCGTCCAGCGAGGGTGCGTCCTGCCCCTGCGAGTGTCCTCTGCCGCCAGCGCCACGGTGACTTCCCCCGGGCAAGGACACGGCGCCGCGAGGGCCCACAAACCCTGGAATTTATTCATGAAACGCCGTGCGCTTGTTCTCCCACGTTCAGACTTCAGCTGCCTTCAAAGCACTCGAGCTGCGCACGGCGCGCCCGGGGGGTGTCTCTCCGCGGCTCAGAACGGCGTCTGAGCTCCTTGATCTCCGCGCCTCAGCGCTTCTGCTGCTCCGTCTCGTCTCCTCACACGGGCAGAGCGTCTCCCTCGGAGGACTCCGTCCACCCCGGGAAACAGAAACTATCGCTCGGGCCGAGATCGGGTGCAGAGGGGGGGCGGGGCGTGGGGGGCGTGTCGTGTGGGTGAAAAGCTGCTGAACACTCAGTGAGTGTGGGCAGGTGCACTCACCTGTCACGCACGGGCAAACACTGAGTCTTCAAAAAAAAACCCCACTGAAGCCGATGCAGCCTCTCACAACGACGCCAGCTGGCACACTGATCCCCACGGGTCCCTAGAACGCTCCCCTATCGGGGAGCCTGCACCACAAGGGGCCCACCCTCCGGAAGAGAATTCTGGTTTTGGGGGACACCCCTCATATGCGTTTGTGCCCCAGGACTGGCCTGGAGTTGGGCAGTTAGCGTCCAGGGAGGGCTGGGCTTCTGGAAGGGCGTTCGTTCCTGGCCGCTCAGGACCCCACCTGCTCCCCTTCATCCGGGTCCCTCTCCGAGCCCCGGCCTGTCCCTTTGCACCCTGCCTGCCCGCCTGTGCCCCCTCTAACTAGCCAGCCCCGTCTCCCCAGCAGCAGGGGGGCAGCGGGCAGGGTGGCCTGGCCGGGACCTCGGCCGTGGGCCGTGTGACTTCGGGTGGGTGAGGCCAGCCCTCTCTGGGCCCCCACCCAGCAGCCAGAGCCCTGCCCCCTCCCCCCGCCCCTCAGTCCTGCTCGCGGACTTGCCTCCCAGCCCCGCCCCGCCCCGCACTGCCCTCCAGCACCCCGAGGTGGAGATGCAGGGGGAGGTGGAGGGGGCATGGAGCTGGGGGCGCTGGGGGCCGGTCCGGTCAAGCAGGGCCGGGCAGGGCGTGTGGTGTCCAGGGGCCCCGTCAAGGGGGGCTGGTGAGAGCCCCCAGGTCGTGCGCCCACATGAAAGCCCCCTGCACAGGACCTTCAAGTGGTCACCTGGGCCGGCCACCCGGAGTGGGGATGGCCCCTGCTCAGCGCCGCGAGGCCACCAGCCCCGGGGAGTCATGGCCAGGCCCCGGGGAGCCAGGTCTCCTCTCGGCCTTGGGAGGGTGCAGACACTGGGAACCGCTGCTGAGGGGCGTGCTGAGCACCCTGTCGCCGGGGGTGTGCAAGGAGGGCTGCTGGTCTGGGCCGCTCCCACCCCGCCCCCGCCCCTGCCGGGCCAGCGGCAGTGGCCCTGCATCCTGGACCCTGCCGCCACCGCCCCTGTTCCGGGGTCTCCGGCTCCTGTGGCCTCGGAGCCCTGGCCCCACCCATGCAGGCGTCACTGGTCTTCACGGGAAACTTAAATGGGGAGGGGTTTGCCTGGGTGGGGGGGCGCCACCCGCCCGGCAGAGGGGGCAGTTGGCGGGACGCGGATGGGGGGGGCGGGCTGGCCCAGTAGGCGGTGGCCCCGGGGCCCTGCCCACCTCACGGCCTGGCTCCGACTCCCGGGCGGGACTAGGGGACCCTGTGGCTCTGGCAGCTCCAAGTGCAGGAGCCACCGAGGGGACTTGGTCTGGGCTGGTGTGGGGGCCGTTGTCTCTGGAGGCTCCCGGCCGCCGGTCCTGCGCGCAGGCCCCTCCACCCACCGGCTCACTGGACGCCCGCCACGCCCGCTGGCCGGGGGTGGCCCGCAGGGGGACCTGGCTCAGGGCGCCAGCACCCAGAGGACCTCGGGCGGGGGGCCGTCAGGGCACTTTCCTGGGGGCGGGCCCCCCCAGCCTCTCACGCCCACCCGCCCACCCGCGCACACAGCCCGCACCACCCACGCCTGCCTCCCCGGCACCACACGCCCACGCACGCCCTCAGCCGCGGCCTGCACACACCTGGCCACAGAGCCACTCGGGGCCACGGGGCGACCCTGGGCCCTCCCGCTTCCCCCACGGGCTCTGGGCACCCCGGGGTCACTCCTGTTCTCTCCGGACGGGGTCTCTGTGGTGGCCCCGCAACCCCAGCCCCACCCCAGGGAGACCCCGAACCGCCCCCGGACCCCACAGTGAAAACTCCGCACACACAGCCCGCGGGTTTCTCCTTTGCAGAATTTTTTTTAGTAGACATAGTCTTTTTTTTCTTTCTCGTTTTACAGCAAACGTTGCAAATATAGAGAGATTTCTTCTGTACATCGAGCTGACGACACTCAGCACCCGCAGGCACCCCCACCCCGAGGCCCCGGCACGTCCAGAGGCCGCCTGGCCGCCTGCGTCACGCTGCTCCTTGGTGGCCCCGCCGGTGGCGGCAGAGAGACGACTGCACAGTCCATGGGAGGCCACGGCGGCGGAGACCACGGCAGACCATGGCGGAGACCACGCGGGGGCCGGGGCCTCGCTCCTCAGACGCCCTGCGTCGTCTTTTCGAGAGAACTTCACTTTTATTACATCTTTTTTAAAAAGGAAGGAGAGAGAGGAAAAGAAGGCAGAGAAGAGTCAAAACAGGAAAAATACTGAAAAAGAAAGTTCCCCTCCCCCACCCCCATCCCTAAGACACAGTTTTCCGAAGTCCCTTTGTGTGTGTGTGTGTGTGTGTGTGTGTGTGCAGTGTATGCCCACGTGTGCGGACAGGCCGCTCACGCCAGAGCGGTGTCCCCCCGCCGGTCCACCTGCTGCTGTCGGTGTCAGTGGCACCTCCACCCCATCCCCCGCTCTCTCCGTGGGGCCCGCGCCTCACCTGCCGACGTGTGTGTGTGTGTGTCTGAGTCCGTGTGTGTGTCTGTGAGTCCATGTGTGTGTGTCCGTGAGTCCATGTGTGTGTGTCCGTGAGTCCATGTGAGACAGAGTTTGTGAGTCCGTGTGTGAGTTTGAGTCCGTGTGTGGTGTCTGTGAGTGGGTGTCTGAGTGTGAGACAGACTTCATAAGTCTGTGTGTGTCTGTGACAGAGTCCGTGTGTGTGTGTGTGAGTCTGTCTGTGAGAGGCAGAGTCCGTGAGTCCGTGTGTGTGTGTGTGTGCGTGTCTGTGTGTTGTGAGACAGAGTTCGCGAGAGCGTGTGTGCGGTGCGCGAGAGTCTCTGGGTCACGGAGGCCCGCGGTGGGTCTCGTGTCCTTTTTGGTCCGGTGGGCGGCCCACGGGCGCGGCACGGCCGCGGGCTCAGGACTTGTGCTGGGCCGACACGCCCTTCCAGTAGTCCAGGATGTCGTGCAGGTCCTCGTCCTTGGCGAACTGGACCTTCTTGCGCAGCGCGTGGCCGGCTGCCACGAACTCCTCGTCGTCCTTGTGCCGCCGGCGGCTCAGGCGCAGGCGCTCCCAGATGCCCAGGGAGGCCCTGCAGGTGTACTCGGGGCTGGAGGTGTAGCTCAGGTGGCGGTACTGCGGGGACAGCGGCGAGTAGGCCAGGTCGCGGGGCCGCGGCCGGGTCAGCGGCTCCAGGATGGACGCCTTGCGGCCGCCTGGGCCCTCATGGGGCGGGGGCGCGGGCGGCGAGGGCGGCTCGGCGGGGTGGGGGCCGGGGTACGAGTGCCGGTGCTCGCCGTACTGGCGGCCCTTCTCGGCCTCGGCCCGCAGCACGGCGGCCGCGGGCGTCACCGTGAGGATGGCGTCAGCGGCGGGCGAGCTCTTCTCGATGTATTTGGCCTCGGCCGCGGCGGCCTTGTGCGCGCCGGGGGCCTCGGCACAGAAGGCCCTGGGGCTGCGGGAGGAGCTGCTGGACGAGGTGCTGGGACGCGGGGGCCCGGGGGCCGCCTCCGCGCTGTGGTGGCGCTGCAGGCCGCGGGCGAAGGCGTCCTTGTACACGGGCGCCAGGAAGCCCTGCTTGCCGGCCGGCGGCTCGGACAGCAGCACCAGCGGGGGCTCGGCGGCGGCCGCGGCCCCGGACTTGCCGCCGGGGAAGGAGGCGGCCTCGGCCTTGAGGGCGTCGATGCAGTTGTTGATGATCTGGTTCACCTTGTCCACCTCCTTGGCGATGGTGGAGATCTCGGCCACGGAGCTCTGGCTGTCGGGGCCCGGGCGCTCGGCCGGCTCCCCGGTGCGCACCTCCAGGTAGGCGCCCTTGCCGCCCTTGGGCGTCTCGCTCTCCACCAGCTTGTACGGCGGCGCCTCGCCGCCGGCTGCCGGCAGGAACGGGAGGCGGGTCACGGCCTCGGGGCCCAGCAGCGGGCCCTGGGGCAGCGGGGCCAGGCCGGGCGCCTCCATCTCTGGCCCGTACTTGAGCTCGATGATGGTCTTCTTCAGGCTGCCGGCCGCCGCGGCCGCCGCCGTCTTGTGCTTCTCCTGCTGGCGCCGCCGCTTGCGCAGGCAGTAGTAGACGGCGCCCAGCACCAGCACCATGCCGAAGAGGCAGCCCAGCACGGTCATGATGTAGTGGGTGGCGGTGGAGGGGCTGGGCGCGGGCCCCGGCGGGCTGGGCGGCTTGGGCAGGCAGAGCGTGAGGCAGGTGTGGTTGTGCAGCAGCCCCGAGCTGGCCGACACCACGCAGTAGGTGTAGTTGGTGAGCGCGTGCAGGCCGGTCAGGCGGATGTCCTCCTGCGGCTTGGTGAGCCGCGAGACGGTGGCCGGCCGGCCGGCGTCGAAGCGCTCCAGCGTGTACATGCGGGTGAACGGGCTGGGCAGCCGGACCGTGAGGGTGGCCGCGTTCTGCGTCAGCTGCTTGACCTTGAGGAGGGGGCGCACCTCGGCCTGCGTGGCCAGCGTGGGCAGGGCCGCCAGCGGGGTGGTGCCGTCGCCGGAGAAACAGTCCTCATCCGCGCAGGGCGCCTCGCTGGGCTCGGGCGGCGGCAGGGAGGGCGGGCGCTCGGGCGGGGGGCGGGGCTCGGCCACGTAGTCGCCGTGCGTGCACACGGCCTGCAGCGTGCCCAGGATGCTGCGCTGGCCGTGCCGGCCGCGGCCCAGCAGGAAGTAGCCGGCGTAGGGCGGCGGCGCCTCGCACTGCATGCGGTCGTAGGCCTGCGTGGCGTTGGTGAACACGGCGAGCCAGCGCAGGAAGCCCAGCAGCTCGCAGGAGCAGTAGAAGGGGTTGCTGTAGAGCTCGCAGGCGGACAGCCGCGCCAGGCCGGCGAAGGTGGCGCTGTGCAGGCGCTGGATGCGGTTCATGGACAGGTCGATGTTGACGATGTTGGGGCACTCCCAGAAGGCGCCGGGCGTGACCACCTCGATGAGGTTGGCCTGCAGGTACAGGTACTCCAGCTTGCCCAGCCCGCGCAGCGCGCCCTCCGTGAGGTTGCGCAGCCGGTTGTAGCCCAGCTGCAGCACCTGCAGGTTGAACTGGCCGGCGAAGGCGCCGTCCTCGATGTAGGCGATCTCGTTCTTGGTGAGGTTGAGGTACGTCAGGTTGCCGAAGCGGCTGAGCGCGGCGTACTGCACGCTGTGGATGCGGTTCTCGTTCAGCCGCAGGTCCACGATGGTGCTGTTGATGTGCTGGGGGATGGCCTCGTACGGCGGCTGGTTCTGGCTGCAGATGGCCAGCCAGACGAAGCCCTTGTCGCCCTCGATCAGCCAGCAGTCGCCGCGGGCCAGGCCGCCCGCGTGCAGCAGGGTGGCCGCCGCCACGCACAGCCACAGCGCGCCCCAGCGGCAGGGGGCCATGGGGACCGCCCTGGCGGGAGACCCCGCTGCGTCTGCCCAGGGGGACCGGGTGGGGGGCTGGGCGGCAGCCCCCGGGGGGAAGGCAGGGAGGGGGCCCGCAGTCTCAGCGGCGTCCTGTCCCAGGCCGCATGGTCGCACCGCCAGGGCTGGGAGCGGGCGCCCCAGTCACGGCCGGCCGCCGCTCGTCGTCCGCCCGCTGCGCGCCTGCGCCACCACGGCCTCCGTCTCCATCCGCCCGGGCGCCCGGACAGCCGCACCCCGCGCCTCCAGCTCCACCGGCCCTGCGGGGAGACAGAGGAGAGGGCCGGTCAGGAGGCGGCTGGCGTCCCCAGGCCCAGGGGCCACCTGTGGCCCTGCACCCAGCTCGGCTGCGCCGCCTGGTAAACGCTGAAGTCGCCCAGCTGAGGAGTGACAGGCTGCGCCATGAAGACAGAGGTCTCTGTCCTCCCGGGGCCTGGCCGGGGCTCTCCCGGCTGCCTGCGGCGGGGCGCCCACTCGGGGCTGCCAGAGACCCTCCGGAGCCCCAGACTCCCCTCCGGGGGGAGACAGGTCAGGCCAGGGACAGCGAGGCCCTGCACGAGACCTCCTGCGGCGTGGCCCCACTGTGCGCCACTCCGGTCCCCAGGCAGCAGCCGGGGTGATCGTCGGGGAGACGTGGCGTCTGCGCCTGCGGGGACCCCGTCTGCGGGGCCCACCCGGGCCCACTGCGCGCTCCTCCCGGGGGTCGAGCAGACCAGGGCACGCGCGCGGCTCGTTAACCTGGGGATTTAGAGCGGCCGCGTGGCCTTCCGCGGGCTGGTCGGCGGCCCGGGAGTGCGTTTCACTGATGCCGCCTCCCGCCGCCGCCCGTCTGCAGGAGGTGGCGGGTGTCGGGAGCAGAGTCTGATGTGAGATGGATTTTCCCCCTGGAAACTTCAGGAGGAACCGTGTGATCTGGCCCCCGGGGAGAGCCGGGCTCTGATTTAAAGACGAGGGAGGGATCCGTGGGGTGGGGGCTCTGTGGAGCCGACGGTGCCCTCCTCCCTCCCCTGCTGGCAACTGCCCAGCCCCCTGGCAACCTGGGATTCGTATCCCCCAGCGCGGAGGGCAGAGCCGGGCGTCGGCAGGCGGTGGATCGGAGGCGGACTCCCCCCCACACCCACCGGCCTTGGGTGGGGTGTGGGAGAGGCCCCGCCAGCCGGGAAGTGTGGCGCCTCAGCGACACCAATCATAATCTCCTCTAATCTCTCGCTCAAAATAACCCATAACCCAAAGTCAGGGTAAGGAGGATTACAGGGCCCAAGAGCCCTCGTCACAGGCAGCAGTGGCTGCGAGGGCTCCCCGGGCCCCTGGGCGCCAAGGCGGCCGCGGAGCCGCTGCTGGGCAGGGCTGCGCCCACACACGGGCTGCCACACGCGTGTGCTGGGCTCCGCCTGCGTGCACACGCAGGTCTGTGTGCACCGGGGCGAGCAGTCCGCACACAGACGCTGGCGCCCGTGCGAGCCCACGTGGGCCAGGGTGGACGCGGGCCCCTCGGGGCTCCTGTGGGCGGGCGGGCGGCACCCCCGAGGCCCCTGTCGCCACCACAGTCCCACCCCCGTGTGACAGTCGGGGAGTCTGCGCTCTGCTGCCACGCCTTGGCAGGGGCAAGTGGTTCTGGGGGCAGTTCCTCCTCTCTGTGCACCACCCCCGCCCCCCCCCACCAGGCCCCCCCCACTGGCCGGCTCCGGTGAAGGGGGGGGCGGGGCGGGGCCCGGGCCCTGGGGAGCCCCCCCCCGGGCCCCCGCGGTGCGCCCTCGCCCTGGCGCCCGGCACCCGCCCCAGAGCCTGGGCCCAGAGGGAGCCAGGCGGCCTGCCGGGTGGATGGGGTGTCCTCACCCCGCCGCCTGTCCTCGGGTGGGTGTGGACATGACCCTGGGGGCTGCCCCCCGCCAGTGTGGCCAAGCAGTCCGTCCCCCAGGAAGGGTCACCTGTGCCCCTTCTCCAGCCCCCACCACCTCCACCTGGGTGCAACCCCAGCTCTGTCATCGCACACCCCCCTCAACAGAGGGGAAACTGAGGCCCAGACAGGAGAAGGCCTTGCCCACAGCGGGTCGTCCCGGGGCCCCTCCAGCTGCCGGTGAGGGGTTGGAACGGAAGCCCCTGGGGCCTGAGGCAGGCAAGGCCCCAGGAAGCAGCCTTGACACGGGACCTGTGTCACCGCTAATGGAAGGAAGACAGACGGTGGTTCCGGGCTCTGCAGCTGCTCACGGCCAGCTCTGCGTAATCATCACTGCGCGCTGAGGCAGGAGCACAGCTGCCTGACAGCACCGTGCGCCGCCTCCATCACCAGCCCAGACGACACGGGGGAGGCCCAGCGGGGTGGGGAGCCTCCACCTGCAGAGGGCACCTCTGGCCAAGGGGGCGGGAGCGGGGAGAAAGTTCTAGAGCGATGCCTTTTCACCGTTGCCATGCTTCACTGTCAGGTGGTGTTGACCCCTCACACCCGCCTGGCTCTGCGCAGCACCCCTGCGCACAGGACACAGAGCCGGGCCAGCAGAGCCGCCCGCCGGAGCTGCCTTGGGCCCAGACACCCAGGCCAGGACCTGCGCTGGCTCCGCCCCCAGCTGTGTGACACACACACACACACACACACACACACACACCCGCCAGCCCTGCAGGCCTGCGGAGCAAGCGCAGACCCTGCAGGTGCTCCCTCCCAGGGACCCCAGTATCTGAGGCTTCGGCATGCGGCCCGGTCCAGGCACGCCTGTCCTCCGGGGGGCAGGGCAGGGGACGCACAGTTCGGGGCGGTGTAGGTGCCCTAGCAGGCCGGCGGGACTGCCCTGGTGGTTTTCGCTTCAGCAAGCCTGGGGGCCAGTGAGGGCGGCCCCCTCCACACCTGCCTGCCCCCTCCCAGGCTCCCTGTGCACCGAGCGGGCTGGCACGGGCCCCGGGGCAGCCGGCCCGGCTCGGCGGGCTCCTCGCACCTGGCCTTGTCCGCCCTGGGGAGGGGGAGCCATCGCCGGCACCACATGCCCCCCCCCAAGGGTGCCGGGGGTGTGAGAGGGCGAAACACCGAGCCCGGGAAGGGTGCAGAGTGACTGGCCCCAGCGGTGACCGCAGGTGGCCTCCCCTGCCCCGCAGAGAATGTGATGAGGAGCAGACGGGGTGACCACTCTCGCCCTGCAGGGTCCCCCAAGCCCTGTCCCCACTTCCGGGGGCTTGGGCGTCAGGGCGGCCCCATCAGACAGGGACACGGGGGCCTGGGGGGAGGGGGCTGCCCCAGGACGGGCTGGACTCCACCCGGCCGAGGCCCAGGAGCATGGTGCCGCCACCCCCCGCGCGGCCCGCTGCTGAGAGCGCAGGTGTCCCTGGGGCTGCGGCGGGGGCCTGGAGCCGGCGGCGGGGGCTGCACGTCGCCCCCCCCCCGCCCCCATCCTGCCCCCGGAGGACACCCACGCCCTCCGCCCGCCAGCAGCTCCAGGCTGCAGAGTTAATTAGGAGCCCAAACACTTAACGGTCTGTTAGCCTTCCGCTGGGCATCTTCTTAAATTAAAAAACATGATGCTCAGCAGCATCGGAGGGAGAAACCGCGCGGCAACGGTCTCCCGCTCTCGCGCGGCGGGACGCGCAGGAGACAGGCGGCTGGCCGGCCTCCAGGGAGGGGGGCAGCACGCGACCCCGCCCCCCCAGGAACATCGGTGCGCCCCTGCCGTCGGGACGCGCGCCAGCGAAGCCAGGCAGGGTCTCGGCGACCGCGGGCACCGCTGCCGAGCGAAACCCTCACACCTGGCAGCAGGAAGTTCTATCTTTAGTCTGACCTGAATCTCTCCACGCGTCTTGAGGGATGGCCAGTTGGAGGCTCCCGGCAGAACCCCGACCTCCAGGTGCCCTGCTCCGGGGAGTCCTCTGTCCCCAGATTCGGGAACCCCCTGTGGGGGTGCAGCGCCCCTCCTGCGCACACGGACGCAGTGACCGCCGCCGCCGCCAGGCCTCTGCACCCCAGGCCCTGCCCCCCCCGTCCCCGAGGTCGCGGTACCTGAGTGACAGTGCGTCTCCTGGCCGCGGTTCGCCGCAGGCGAGGCTGTGGGCCGAGGTCGAAAGTAGCCGTCCGCCCTCCCAACGGCATGTCGAGGGGGGAAGCAAAACTCCGGCCGGAGCCCGGACACACTGCGCCCTGCCCGCCCCACGGTGGGGGAGCGAGGCCGCGGCGGCCAGGGGCCCTGAGACCCCGCGGAGCGCAGCCCACCACGGTCCCCTGAGCCACTCTGTCCGCAAATCCGGTCAGACACGGGGCTCTCCCCTGCGCACTCCGGAGAGTTCCATCACAGCCCCCCGATCGTGGCGGACGCTGGCAGGTGGCCCCTCCTGCTCCCCCGGGCTCTCCTGGCCCCCAGACGAGGGGGGCGTTGAAGATGCCAGCACCGCGGCTGGTGACGCCGCAGCTGACCGCACCACAGACCCCGGGACCCCGTCAGGAGGCCCCAGCCCTAGGCACCGGTACCGCAGGGGCAAAGGGGCCCCCCGGGTCTGCCCTGCCGGCCCCGCACACCCACCGCTGCAGCCCAGGCAGCGCCGGTCCCACTGTGGCCTCCCGCTGGCCTGGCCCAGGCCACCGACGCTGGTCAACCCGTGCTGTCCAATCAAGGCGACCCCCACGACCTCCGCCACGACCCTAGACCGCACCCACCTCCACCCACTGCAGGGACTGGTTTCCCGCACCTAACTCGGTCCGCCGGGAAAGTATTTCCAGGTGTGAACCAGGATCCAAACCGATTTCTGACCCCGAGCGGCGAACAGCGAACGACCTCGACCCTTCCGCTGCGTTGTGGCGCTCCAGCCCAAGCCTGTCCCCTCCTCCCGCTGCAGCCCCGCCGGGCTCCCCGGGGCCCCCGCGAGCGTCCGCGTCCCCAGACGGCCCACCAGGCCCGGACGACGGTCGGGGCGGCCCCTCCGCTTGCCCCCGGCGCCGATCGACCCACGTGGCCTGCACCTTCTCTAGCGCCCTTACCTCCACCTGGATGCGAGCCGCCCCGCCCCCTTTCCTGGTGTCCTCCGTCCAGACCGGGCCGGGGCTCCCCTCCCGAGTCCCAAAGCTGCGGCACTGCCCGACCGTGACCCTGACATGGAGGTGGGAACCCCATTCCCCGGCCCCTTCCCATCCGAGTCTGCGCCGAAAGCGCGCGCCCGCGGCGGAAGCGTGGCCGGACCGGAAAACGCCCCCGCACACCCCTGAGGCGGCGGCGCCGTGGGTCCTGGTTCCCCGGCGGTCTCCACGCTGGCCTCCCGGCTCCTGGTCAGCGGACACCTTCCACGCGCA